ACTGCCTCCCTCTTGCAAGGGTATTTGTGATTACATTTAGGGCCCACCCAGATAATACAGGATAATCTCCCCATTTCAAGATTATTAATTTCATCACACCTGCAAAGACCCTTTGCCATATAAAATAATATTCACAGGTCCCAGGGATCAGCATGTGGACCTCTTTGGGGGCCATTATTCAGCCTGCCACATTATCCATGTAAGCTCTTACTATTTGGATTCTGGTTGTCTTTGGTCTGTCCTTTTCTTGGGGCGCCAAGCACTTTCTACCTTGCAAGATAGCAATTTGTCACGGTTTATTTCCTCTTTTGGAATTCAAGCTCCCTGAGGGCAGGAACTGGGGCTGATTCACCTTTATCTCTACAGATTCCAGCACATATAAATGACATGTAATTGTGGAAGTGATTGAATTGAATGAGCTAAACATTTACCTTGAGGGCATCAGAAACAGCTATGGTGAAAGAGGAGCCAGCGAATGGTGGTGTCCCAATATACCACCTTTTTGAGGAGGAAGAGGGGGTAACCCCCCCCCCCCGGGCTCACTGCTATTTCATCCTATGCCACTGCCTCATGTCTGTACATTGAGGAGGTGAGAGCTTAGGAAAAAGTTGGCTGTGTTCTCACCAATGTCTTTGACTCACTGACTCATTCAGCAAATGTTTATTGCCTGTATCTACACATAAGTTACACGGCCTTAGGAGTTTCTGTTTGGTGCCTTGTGGAAAGGCTTTGGGTCATACCTGTTCTGTGCCATGTGCAAATTCCCCCTATCAGTGAGGTGGGATGGAAGGAGGCTCAGGATACCCTGGCTTAAGTCCTAACTTTGCTGCTGCCTTGAGCAAGTCACACACATTCCTGGAGTGTCCACACAAATCTATGTCATTGCATTTACCACATTATTAAAATGTAATAATACATGGTTTTGGCATTCTCCTTCCATGCCACGAGTTCCCTGAGGAGAGGACAGTGTCTATGTCATCTTTGTTTTCCCACTCACTCTCTTAACACCTGGTACATCATAAGCTCTTAGAAGTAGTATAATAGTATAGTAATGATGATGACAAAAACTATTTATGGAGAGCTTACCTTGTGCCAAGCACTGTTTCGTGTACTTTCACATTGCAACTCATTTAATCCTTGTAACAGTTCTATGAGCTAAATAGTATTATTGTCCGCACTCTGCAGATGAGGAATCTGAGGCACAGAGAGGTTAAGTAACTTTCCCAAAGTCACACAACTAGTAAGTGGCAGAACCAGGGTTTAAGTTTAGGTCCTCTGCCCATAGTTCATGGTGTAAAGTACTCTGTGCAACATGGTTTGCTTGAAGAATGGGATAAAATGTGGAAATGTGAAATGAGGATCTCCAAGGTCTCTTTAGCTCTGATTTCCTGTGAGTTTCAAAAATGTAATAGTCTCAACAGACTATAAAAAGGGACATCTGCTCTGGCATGGCAGTGTGGACCAGGGAAACAGGTCCAGACTGGTACAGGCAGGGTCTACTGCAAGTGGGAGTTTGAATCCCGACTGTGGCAATTATGGATGTGACCTTGACAAAGTATTTAACCTCCTTGATTCTCAGTTTCCTCACAGGGCAAAAGGACAGTTATACCTGCATTGTAGAGCTACTAGGAGAGTAAAATAAAAATATAAAAATAAAAGAGAATACCTTATGGAAAAGTGCTTCATGCAGAGGAAGATCTACAGAAAACTGTGGAGTTTGGGATGTAATCGTTACTGAGTTGGATATTCTTTACAACAGAACTTGGTGGGCCATTTAAGTGGGTCAACTTCTCAAGGATTAATGTGAGAGACCTTCATGGTAAAAAGTAAGTGAATCCAAGGGTGGTCTGCTTCCTGGATATATGGACTTTGGATGAAAATGTAGCAGCTTGCCTCTGTGTGTGTGTGTGTGTGTATGTGTGTGTGTGTTTGTTTGTGTGTGGTAGGGTAGTCTTGGTGTTAGTTGCTGGGCGTGGGGGTGGAAACATAGAGTGGAACGAACAGGAACCAGGGAGTGAGGAAATATGTTTGAATTCCAGCTCTGCCATTACCTTCCTGTGTGATCTGGCAGGTTTGGCAAGTCACCAACGTCTTTGGGTTTTTAGTTCCCCAATTCCAAGGTGAGAGGGTGGAATTTGAAAATCTCTACTACCAGCCTGGAAACTTCCAAGCCAAATTCTTCAATGAATGAAAATTCCTCGAGTATCCTTGTCTACCAAAAGAGCAACTGTTTTTTCCTTCCTGCTGGCAGTTGCTATGTATTTGAATCAGGCACAGGTGAGAAGCTTTTTATTCTGGTGTTCAGGCCCCTCCCCTCTCAAGTTGGCAAGGAGCTTCAAGAGGTCCACCTATCCCAGCCAGGTTGGCTCAGGCCTCTGGACAAGAATACCCAATTAGTCAACAAACGTTTATTTTATTTTTTCAAAAATCACATAATTAACAAATAAAGGACTATGGGAGAAAACATAGATAAGCAAAGTGAACAAAATTAAAATCTCTTATAATACCATCACCTAGAGATGATCATTATTAACATTTTGGCATATATTTCTCCAGATGCTTTTTTCTATGTGAATTTAAATGAAAAAATTAGTTCCATGCAGTACATACATACCTAGCATCTTGCAACCTGCTTTCCCCACCTAACATTTTTTTTTTAAAGATTTTATTTGTTTATTTGACAGAGAGAGACATAGCAAGAGAGGGAACACAAGCAGCAGGGAGTGGGAGAGGGAGAAGCAGGCTTCCCGCAGAGCAGGGAGCCCGATGCGGGGCTCGATCCCAGGACCCTGGGATCATGACCTGAGCCGAAGGCAGACGCTTAACGACTGAGCCACCCAGGTGCGCCCCCCAACATTATACCATGAACGATTTTCCCATATATTACATATTCTCCATTTGTAATGGCTGCAAATTATTCCATTGTATGGGTGTGATATTTAACCAATCCCTTGCTGGACCTTTCAGTTGTTTCCATTTTTCACTCTGATGAAAGTCAGTGTCCTTAAATATTTGAAGTACAATCTTTCAGGCTTTCTTAAATTTCTCAGAAGAGGAATTGCTGGGTTGACAGATTTGAACATATTAAAAGATTTTGATACACACTTCTTTTTGCTTTCTAAAAAGTTTGTATCAAAACAAATTCACCATGAGATGAGTTTATGTATTACCACGTTAAGAGCAAATAGGAGGGGTGCTTCTGTTAATCAAGGGTTGGGGAGGTCAGGGAAGGCTATGCAGAGGAAATGCCTAGGTGGAGATCTGCAGGATAAGTAGGAGTGAGCCAAACAAAGAGAGATAGCACGTGAGAAGGCCCAGAGACACTGCACTCTCAGGACAGAAATAAGTTCCCTGTGGCTAGAGTTTGGAGGGCAGGCAAGTAACAGGACTTAGTTAACAGTTTAATTGGAGATAAGCAAAAACTCAATGTAGGGTGACATAGATTTGTATTTTAGGACGGTTGCTCTGGCTTCAGTGTAGAGAGTGGATTGGAGGGGACAAGACTGAAGACAGAGTGACAAGTTAGGAGGCTGTTGCAATCCCCCAAGTGACCAATATGGCCATGGCCAAGACTGGGATAATGACAGCAGGAATGGAAAAAGACAGACTAAAGGGTCATTAGAAAGGTAAAAGGATAGGACAGACTTAGTGTTTGGATAGTAGGAGGATGGGAAAAGGGAAGCCTTGAAAATGACTCTCAGGTTTCTTTTCCACCTGGGGAGGATGGAGAACCTGGGTATTGCCCTATGGTTTTGTGATAGGAAGATGGTATGTTCAGCGTGGAACATGCCAAATGTGAGGCTCCTGTGAATCCATTCGAGTGGAGGTATCCTGTAAACATTTGGATCTCTAGAAGAGAGATCTGGGCTGCAGTGGCTGCTGGAACCTTAAGTCTTAGAGAAGATGCAGTCAATTCACCCCTCATCAAGGAACAGACAGATGGCCTAAGAGAGAACCTCAAGGCACAACCAACTTCTAAGGAACGTGTAAGGGAGGGAGAGCCTGCAAAGAGACTGGGAAGAAACATCCAGGGGTAGGAAGAAAACTTTGAGTGCCTGTTGTCATGGAAACCAAGGGAAAGGAATTTTTCAAGGACAGTGGTTGGCAGAGTCCGATACAGATCTGTTTACCTCACATTTTCTCAAGGATTACCTCATTTAGATCTCCCAACAGATTACTGGGGTGGGGACCTTCGTCATACAATTTTGAAAGAGGAAACTGAAGATCAGAGAATGGAGGCAAATCTCCCAAGGTCCAGCAAGTCACTGGCAGTCAAAGCTTGAACCCAGGTCTTGATTGACAGTGTGTGGGCCAGGCGGGAGAGCCCAGCACATCGACTTTTAGCGTGAGCTCCTTTGGTGGGTGATAGGAGAAATAATTAATGGCCACCAATCAATGTGTACCTAATGTGTGCCGGCACTGCTCTAGGCCTCACCTGCATTATTCCTAATCCTAACAACCACCAAGAAAGGTAGTAATTTTACTCCTAGTGCACACAGGAACCTGGGGCCCAGAAGTGAAGTGACTTGTCCCATATCACACCCCTTGGCAGGTGGCAGGGCCAGGTTGGGAACCCAGGTCCTCCCCTTCTCCAACGATGATCACGCGATCACGCGGCTGCGCTTTCCCGAGGAGGGAGGCGGCTGCTCCAGCGGGAACACCCGGAGGCGCCCCCCGGGACCCCCTGTCCGCCCCTCGCCCCCGCGCGCATGCCTGGCCGCTGAGGCGTGAGAGCCGCTGCCCGGGGCCCTCCCTCCCGCGCGCCTTGCACAACCGGCCCAGATTAAGTGCTGCGTCTCTGAGCAATTATCGTCTTCCTGCCGCCACCGGGGCTGGCCGGGCAGAAAGCCAAAGACCAAGGGACTCGCAGCCACCCAAGGAGAGCGGGACCCGCCGGTGGGGCCGAGTACCAGCGCCACGCGGTTACACAACGCCGGGACGCGGGAAGCGGCGGGCGGGGAGGCGGCGCGGCGCGATGACGTCACGCGCAGCCCGGCGCCCGAGTCCCCCGCCCCTGAGCTGGGGGTTGACTGGAGAGAGCCGGCGTGCCCCCAGCGCGCTGCCAGGTAGTCGGCTGCGAGGCGTTCTGTTCCCCCTTCCTCGTCCTTCTTTCTTCTCCGTTTCCTCCCTTTCCTCCCTTCTTCATCTCCTTTCCCTTTCATCCCTTCCTCCTTCCTTCCTTCCTCCTCTCCTCTCTCCTTCCTTCCTTTTCCTCCCTCCCTACATCCTTCTCTCCCTCCATCGCTTCCTCCCTCCCCACCTTCCTCCTCTCTCTCCCTCCTACCTCCCCTTTATCATTTCTTCACTTTAAAAAATAATTTTCTAAGGTGTTTTTAATTGTGGCAAAATTTACCATCCTAAGTGTACAGTGGTGTTAAGCCCATTCACGTTGTGCAGCTCATCTCCAGAACTTTTTCATCTTGCAAAATTGAAACTGTATCCATCAAATAACTTCTTTCCTCATCCCCCTCAAGTAACCACATTCTGCTTTCTTTTTCTTCGTTTCTTCCTTTTGCCTTTTTGTGCCTTTCTTTTCCTTTATCTCTCCTTTTTCTTCCCCTTCCTCTTTCCATCTTCCTCTCTTTTTTTCTCTTCTTGAAAACCTGATGGCCCTGCTGCACCCTTGCCAGCCTTCTACAGTCCGTGCCAGGGGTTGGGCCAAGAGGCCTGTCAGCGAGGCTGTTACAGGGCTGGTGAGTCACCATTCCTCCCCCGTGTGTCAGGGCCAGTGGGCGGCCCCTGGAAACCTCACCTGGCTCTTCACCGGTAGGCAAACATGTCCAGCAAGGAACTTTTGCCAGGAAGAGTTAATTAGAGAGAGGCCCTGATTCCAGCAGAGTCTAGGGTCAGGCTGGGAACCCCTCTCTCCTCTGGGCCTTCCCCAACCCTGGGGCTCCCCTTCTAGACAGTGCAAGACAGCCATGATGATGGTGATGGTAATGATAACTTGGGCTGACACAAAACTTTACAGTTTACAAAGCATTTCCATAGACATGATCTCATTCTTGTTCTCACAACAATCTTGGGAGGTAAGCCTTATTATTCCCGTTTTACAGGTGAGGAAACTGAGCCTCAGAAGGGATTTGCCTATGGCCATGGAGCTGGTAAGCTGCAGAGTTGGCAAGGTGGGGACCCAGATTTGTATCACAAAAGCAGAAAAAAGTGGCTAGGTTAGAGTTTAAAACACCTTAAAAAAACCCTCATTGTTCTCTTCTGTATTCCCATACTACCTTGTTTAGACCTTTTGAGTGCAGAACCCACCTGACGGGTTTTCAACACGTGGGCATAATAGGGGGCAGCTGCTGAATGAATGGTGGAGGTATTTGATGGCATGCAAAGCAAGTGTAAAAGAGCCGATTTTCTAGGCAGTTAGGAGACTTTAAAAGTAAAAAAGAGTTGCTACTTAGCTGTCCCTGGGTTACCTGGAATTTTGTCTTTCCATTCAACATATTGAGAGAACTTGTAAGTGTGGACGGAGTTGGCAGTTCTACCTTTTCTGGGTAGAATCTCTGGCTCATGGGAGTACGTTGTTTCAATTCCTTTGTCATATGTTGGTGTGGAAATAATTTTTAGTGTCATAGGAAATTGTGGTAGATTATTAATGTTCACCAGTATCCATTTCTCCTCTACATCTGGATACATGGAGGCACAACTCCCCTGGCCCCTTGAAGTAAAGCAGTACTCTGTGGGCTGGAGCATTCAGTTGCTGGTCCTCCACTCTTTAGTTCTCTCTTCTCCAGCTGCATTGAGACAACACTTCAGAATGTTGGAGTTTTTGGCTTGGGTCTCAGAGAGATTACCATGAATGTGATCTCCTATCAACTGTTATGTTTATGTAGAGTGAGTAAGAAATAAACCCCGATGGTATTAAGCCACTCAGATTTAGGCTGTTTGTTACTGTGGCTTAATCTAGCCTATTCTGACCCATACATTCATGCATAGAGCAATCAATATAATACATTGAGTGCCTAGTCAATTTTTTAAACATAACTTTCATCTTTTGGAACAAAATTTAAATAATTTAAAGATAAAAATATTAAAACTGCATAATCTAGTAGGAAATATAAGCTTAATTTATATTTTTGTCCCTAAACATCTCTTATGACATATACTTTAAAAAATGTTTTATAAGAGTTTCATTGAGATATAATTTAGGGGCTCCTGACTGGCTAACTGGGTAGAACCGACAACTCTTAATCTCAGGGTTGTGAGTTCAAGCCCCATATTGGGCATGGAGCCTACTTAAAAAAAAAAAAAAAAAAAAAAAGATATAATTGAAATGCAGTAAATCCCACATATTTAAAGTGTGTAATTTGATAAGTTTTGGCATATGTATATACCTGTCAAACAATTATTACAATTATGGTAGTGAATATATCCCTTACCTACAAAACTTTCCTTGTGTTTGCTTTCCCTGTCCCTTCCCAGCAACCCAACCCTATCACCTAGTCACCAGGCAACCACTGACCTGCTTTTGTCACAGTAGATTAATTTGCATTTCCTAAAATTTTATATAAATGGAATCATACAGTGTATCCACATTTCTATGTGGCTTTTCATCACTCAGTATAATTCTTTTGAGATTTTCCAGATTGTTGCATGTGTATTGCTGATTAGTATTCCATTATATGGACATACCACAATTTATCCATTCCTCTCTTGATGGACTTCGGTTGTTTCCAGTTTTTGACTATTACAATAAAATTACTATAAACATCTGTGCATGAGTCTTTGTGTGGACATATGCTTTCATTCTGTTGGGAAACCTAGGAAAGGAATGGCTGAATCATGTAGTAGTTGGTGTATGCTGAACTTTTTAAGAAACCATCAAACTGTGGCACCTGGATGGTGCAGTTGGTTAAGCATCCAACTGTTGTTTTTGGCTCAGGTCGTGATCTCAGGGTTGTGAGATCAAGCCCTGTGTCATGCTGTGCACTCAGCGTGGAGTCTGCTTAAGATTCTCTCTTCTTGGGGCACCTGGATGGCTCACTCGGTTAGGCACGTGCCTTCACTCAGTTCATGATCCCAGGGTCCTGGGACTAAGCCCCACATCAGGCTCTCTACTCAGCGGGAGCCTGCTTCTCCCTCTCCCCGCTGCTCCCCCTGCTTGTACTCTCTCTCTCTCTGTGTGTCAAATAAATAAATAAACTCTTAAAAAAAAAAAAGATTCTCTTTTTCTCCCTCTGCCCGTCCCCACACTGTGCATGCATGCACTCTCTCTCTCTCTCTCAAATAAATAAATAAATCTTTAAGAAAAAGAAAAAAAGAAGAAACCACCAAACTGTTTTCCAAAGTAATAGTAACATACATTCCCACTATGGTGGAGAGTTCTAGTTCTTCCACATCTTTGCCAATAATTGATACTGTTAGTCCTTTAGTCTTTTTAATTTTAATCATTTTATTAAGTGTGCAGTGTATGTCATTGTGGGTTTAAAAATTGTGATAAAATGCACAAGCATAAAATTTGCCATTTTAACTATTTTTAAGTGTGCAGTTCAATGGCATTTAGTTCAATCACAGTATTGTGAGCCATCACCACCATAGTTGCAGAATATTTTCATCACCCCGGAAGGAAGCCCGTATTCTTTACGAAGTCACTCGCCATTCTGCGCTTTCCCAGCCTCTGGCCGTCACTAATCTGTATTCTGTCTCTATGGATTTGCCTATTCTGGATATTTCATAATGGAATATGGAATAAATGGAATCATACAACATGTAGTTCTTTATGACTTGCTTCTTTTACTTAGCATAATGTTTTTGAGGTTCATCATGTTGTTGCATCAGTACTTCATTCCTTTTTGTGTCCAAATAATATTACATTGTATGGATATACCAGTTTTGTTTATCCATTCATCAGGTGATGGACATTGGGTTGTTTCTGCCTTTTTGGGTATTGTGAATAGTGTTACTATGAACATTTGTGTATATTTTTTTTGAAAAAATATTGTAAGAACATTTTGCACGAAATGTACCCTCTTAACCGAATTTTAAGTGTATAATACATCATTTTTTTCCAGAGGTATTTTATTTATTTATTTGTATTATTATTATTACTATTTTTTTATTATTTACATATAAAGTATTATTTGTTTCAGAGGTACAGGTCTGTGATTCATCAGTCTTACATAACACACACCCTCCCCAGTGTCCATCACCCAGCCACCTCATCTGCCTACCCCTCTCCCCTCCAGCAGCCCTCAGTTTGTTTCCTGAGATTAAGAGTCTCTTGTGGTTTGTCTCCCTCTCTGGTTTCATCTTGTAGCATTTTTTTCCTCTCTTCCCTTATGATCCTCTGCCTTGTTTCATAAGTTCCACATATCAGTGAGATCATATGATAATTGTCTTTCTCTGATTGACTTATTTCACTTAGCATAATACCC